ATACACCACCATGAACACGTTGATAAACTTGAAAGAGGCAATGCTATGGCACAATGAATTTGCATCAGTTCTGCTAGCAGCCGACCATGAGCCAGAGAGATCCTGGAGTTCATACTTGTCTGTATGCAGTCTATGGGCTATATGCTCCAGTGCTTCAACAATGAACAAATACGAAGTGTAGAAATATTCGTACGCTGCCTGGCGCTCTGCCCACCGAGTGCGACATAGATCGAGAAGGGGCTTCCTTTTACCAGGTGTACAGCATTTATTAACTATGCATTCAAGAAGTCTCTGCCTTTTGGGTGATCCATTGAAATAAAGACAAATAGCCTTCATCTGGTCAATGACGTGTTTCATCTCTGTGTCTTTGCATGAGTGGCTAATGACCAAGTTCAGTGCATGGCTACTACAATAGGTATATGGGGCCTGATCCGCGCCATGGTTTCTCACATAGCTTTGCGCTCCGCATCTGTCACTTGACACGTTAGCTGCACCATCAAAACATTGTGCTCTCATATCAGCAATGGGTATTTGTAGAGAACGTAATTTCTCTTCAATGGCTCTTCCTATGTCTACCCCACGAATCCTATAATCAGCGTGACCACTTCTTGGGTATTTACCCAAGATCTTGGGTATTTTGACTTGGTCTTGGGTTCTTGGGTATTCCGTTCAAATCCTTGGGTATTTTATTTTTACTAAGAAAATTAAGTATTTTTGTCATAGAGGAAGAATTAAGAAGTAACATTAAAAGTATATTTCAGTCCATTGAAGTAAGCAAAACTCAATGAAGTGCACATAACATTGTTAATTGACTGTTAATTGCTATAAACATGGGTTCAGAATTGTTAATTTGTGATTTGCGTTGCCATTGATCTTACCTAATTAATGCATTACATAATAAACACTGATAACACTGGCCGACTGAGGGCGTATTTTTCTATTTGTATTATTACCTCATGAATATTAATTTTAATAATTAACACAAACAATTACAGTAAAAAATGGTTTATAAATTGAACTGAAAGGGAAACTATACATGCGAAAAACACGTATTTTTCAAATTTTAATGCATTTTCAGGAAGTATTGATTTTACACCAAGGGCGAGAAACGCCTTTTGTAATTGTATATCTAAAAGAACAAGACCAACATTTAGACCAGAAATTATCTTTTCCCTAATGTACTCATGAAGGTATATTAAACAAGTATCAGTTGAGTATCCACTGCGAAACCCAGATTGAAATTTATATAGAAGGTCATAATCTGTAATGTAATCATTTAGCTGAGTAGTAGTTGTGGACTATTACAGTCATTAATTTGAAGTGGACACTCTTGGGATGACAACAGCACATAAAATTGTGAAAATTCTCTGTAGAAGTTTCTAACACATGAACTAACATTAAGCATAAAGACAGATAATGGACGACAGTTTATCAGTGCAGTATTGAAAGAGTATTTAGAGATTCAGGGCATAAGCCATAGAAGAGTGACACCTCTCTGGCCCCAAGCAAATGGCGAAGTGGAAAGACAAAATCGCACGCTTCTCAAACGATTAAGAATTGCGCAAGCTGAGAAACACAACTGGCGAGCGGAAATTGATAAATTCTTGATAATGTATTGCGCCACACCTCACAGCATAACAATTGTAAGCCCCGCAGAACTGATGTTTACGCGGAAACTTTGAACCAAAATTCCCGGAATGCAAGATCAGGTTGGAGAAGAGGATTTGGAAGTGAGTGATCGAGATTGCGAAGTTAAAGGTAGAATACAGATGTACGCAGACGCGAAAAGAAACGCATGTTAGTGTAATATTGTACCAAGAGACATGGTATTGTTGAAGCGAGACTAAAAAGATAAATTTACCCATACGTTTCACAGCGAAACATTTAGAGTTGTGAAAAGAGCGGGAAACACGTTTACTGTAGAGCAAGTACAGAATAGTAAGCCAGTACAGTATATTAAACATGTGAAATCATACCAACGGAGAGAGACAGAACACAATGATCACGTAGAGAATACAGAAATTCCCACAACACTAGATTATTCCGACAGCGAAGAGCAACCTGCAACAAACACTGATTAGCTAGAAGTCATACCAGAACAATCAATCTGGACTTCTCGCCCTGTTCGCAAAAAGAGATTGCCTGTTGAATTTAAGGACTCTGAAATTCATTAAATATATTAGTTTAGTGTTCATGTTTACAATGGAAATGAAGAAATTTCATGTTGAAGTGTTCATGCATGCTTGAAGTATGTTAGTTTTAATGAAAATGCTAACTTAATGTTTAACGCACAGTAATTGTAGCTGCTTTAATTAATCATATACATGTTGATGTTTTGATCAGAAAAACAAAATAGATTTAGATAATTATTAGAGACTGATTTGAAATTAAATTGTTTTAGTACTGTAATTATTAGAATGATCATAGGAAAAAAAATAATGAAAGTTGCATGTTGTGAATTTTAATACTTATAAACTAGATAGAGAAGAAAAGTTTTATTTTGAAAGCCAAAAGAGATTAAGTTTAAAAGAGTTTTATTTTAAAGAAAGGAATAATTGTAGTATCTACAGAAGTTGAGTTAGACCTATCATTGTATATCATTAAAAGTTAGTTGTTAGAGTACCTTACCACCGTGTGTGAGTCGTTGATTGTGCTTTCGTGTTTAATCTGTTATTAAGTGGTTCAATCCATATATAATACACTACAATTACCAATGTTATCGCCACCAATGTATAGTAACCACCTAAACTAATTTTTTACAGCTACAACCCTGACAGTATGTCTAGTTTAGTGTAAAAGAGTACTGTATACACATTTTCTTTAGGCTACATCTGAAATGATTAAATATTATTAAATTTAATGCTGTGGAGTAATGAAGAGAATGAAAGTTTTGATAGTTACGGTATGTAAATTGCTGTTTAGTGATTTTGTTAACAAGTATGCACTAAAATTCAGCTGACTAATATGTGAAAATGACACAAAAATCATGACACACAGTGTATCCAATAGATGACCATTACTGCCAGTAACATACTGTATGCTGATAATAAAGTTTACAGTTTTCTACAATATGATACTGTATAATTTAAAATAATGTAACAGGACCAGATGATAAATTGGCAACAATGTGACATACGATATTTGTACTACTTTACTCGATAAGGTGTTGTTGGTTTTTACCGAGATGTATTTGGTACTCTGCTCTGCAATTATATCTGTTTTATACTGAACTATTAGTCATAATATAAAGCAAAAAACTCACATTATAGACTGTACAGTAAAAGCATTTATTGTTCACTGCACAAAACCATCTAGGCTCAGTATCAAAATTATACGAAAATATTATGACTTGGTTTGATTCATTTAATTATGTAGTTATACTTGAAGGAAGAAGAAATTTTAGGGAGAATGAGAAAACAGAGTTTCAGCTGCATCTTGCAATTCTGTTATACAATAATGGAAGACAGTGGCATGCTTGTCCCAGTTTATACTTCCTCTACTTCCATCATCATAAACTGGATAAGTAGTTTTTGAGTTTCCCAACAGCAAGGATCCCATTAACAATTCCCAGGATAGATGGTTACTAACCTGTTTTATAAGATAAACAAAAACTACATAATTAATACAGGTGCAGTATGTTTTCAATCAATATTTTGTTGCCCTCTTTCCAATCCAAATTTTCGCTAGGCTTGTGGGTGCCTTTTTAAAGTTTTCTAATTAAATTGGAGGATTACTGTAATAATTTTATCTTTCAATACTACTGATAGTATTATTGATTACATAATTATACAGGTCTCCCTTCACTTTGTTATGATTGAGGTTCTCATGGTCTTTAGCAGCTTTTGTATTTCATTTATTTACTTATTAAATTTATTATAAAGAAAAAAGATAAGTCAGGCCTAAAGAAAAGTGGTTTAATTTTAAGGAAGAACTGTATAATTGTTTTGTGTTCTGCTTTAGTAGTTAAATCCTACCTGTATTACAGGGGAAACCATTTTGCTGCCTTATCAATTTATAACCTTCTCGCCCCCTTTCCTATTGTAGTGGGGTTTACGCCACTCTGTTTCGTTGATCTTTTTTGTTTTGGTTGGTTTTGTTACCCATACGGCAGGTTGTGAGGTGCAGGAAAAGGGAGTTTGCCATACATAATCCAACTTGAAATAATGAGCTGCCACATAAGTTGCATGTTGATACTAGTAATAAGAAAATAACAATCATTATTTAAAGACACAAACAAGCAAGTATTTATTATTGAATTGAATTGGATTTATTCAGCATAAACACCAAGAATAGCTGACAAAAAAATGGGGTCTGGTGGTGATGGGCAGTACACTGGGAGACAATCCCCTACTTTTCCAAAGAGTGTACTGCGTTTTTTAACATGCACATGGGCCCTAAATGCACACAGGATCAATGGCTTAGACGTCTTATCCGAAAGACGGAGAGAGTAGTCAGTTAGTGGAGAGAGTATGTCAGATTCTTGCACTATCGCATTCTTCCACAATCATTGTTTCAGGTAGTAATCTTCTTTTTTTGAAAAAACGAAAAAATAAATAAAAGCTCACCCACCCACCCTTCCCATAGTTAGTTATTTGTCAGGTAGGCAGTTTTTTGGTTGCCAACCTTGCATTATAACACCTTTGTTCTGATTTTTAGTGTTATGCGTGCTGTGCCCATTATTACCAAACAATTTCTTTAATCATGTACCATATGACAACATAATTGTTTGTTGCCACGATAACTAGGTTTGGTAAGACTAACTAAACTACTACTCATCAAGTCTCAGAGAAAAATTGCATTTTGGGGAGGCTATGCTTTTAATGCGCAGCAAAAACGGAGAATTTCTAGTTATTTCTGTAACAACAGAATGCCTTTTTCAGTACGTAAACATCTGTAAAATAATGGTGTATACATATATTAATTGAAATTATATATGTGATGATAGCTGTGTAATCACGCTATGATGCTATTAGTTTACTATGCAAACTTCTTTTTTCCAGGTGTTGATGAAACAACTGAACCAAACATGGCCAAATCTAATAGTGGAGAAACCGTACACTGAATTCTGGTAATCAAGATTATCTTTAACTTTTTCCGTTTGTTGTAGTATTAGTATTATTAGTGATAAAATGCAATTTGGCAGACAAATTTATCATTGATGACAAATTATTTTTTTAAAAGCTAGTAAGAATTGGAGTAGATGATCTCTAACAGAGATCTTTATCAATTCTTGGTGGAAATTGCAGCTTGGTCATGACATCATCTGTTAATGACGACATACGATCCTTCTCGTTGTCAATTGGATGCTGTACAGTGCCTGGCCAGGTGAGGATGTTATTAGATCATTGTATAGATTAGAATGTTCATGTGCGTTTTGATATCTGTTTATGATTATATTTTTAAAGTTCTTCTTAGTGTAATGATCCTTTCTGATGTATCTCTCTTTGTGTTTTGGTTCTTTTTCTAGCATCTTTAGCCTCCCAATTTGGAACATAATTATGTTGTATAGAGTGGTCTGTAATAGCATTTTTTTTGTATTATTGATGATGTTGTTGCTCTGGAGGCCCTTTCCATCCCCCGTGCTTGTTATAACATATCTTTTGTGATCACTGATGCCTGTTTATAATACTCTCATGTGACTTTGTAGACTACACTCAAGTGTCCATTGTCTCGATCTTATCTTTGGGGAGGATAAGACTGTTTTTGATTTTGTTTGAGGCACTGTAGTTTCCAAACATTGTTATTGGAGAGAGTAGGTCAGATTCTTTCGGTCATTCCTTTTACATAAGGAATCTCTAAACTTCTTCTTTGCTTGGTTTTTGTCAATTACTGGTTTCTGTACTTTCTTTTCCATTTTTTACTTTTCCAAAATACTTTTTATGGACCATAAACCCAACTTATGATCTAATGGATGATGTAAATTAAAGATTGATTTGTGTGTAGAGAGTAAGGTGAAAGTAGGAAATAACCTGTGACTTGCAGCTTTAACTAGGCAGGCATGGACTATTACACGTTTAACAACTTTCTTCTCCTCCTCCACATTGTGTCCAATCAGCTACCAAGAAGTGCGCTTTCGTCTGTTCTTTTGATAAACTTGGAAGGTTACTGATCATTTCTTTGTAGTGTGATAAGTATATGTTGGAATAAAACAATTTTTCTTTTTATGCTATTAAAATTGGTTCTTAAATTTTAAACATTTACAATTTTTATAACTGTTTTACCACATTCTTTACTCATTTTAAATAATTCTCCAGATTTTTTTTTTTTAAGAATTGTACTTTTTTACACTGGTTTTTCCTTCTCGAACTTGTTGAAAACCGACCTCTTTGTAATTTTAACTGATTACAAGTCCTTTGTGAATTTGATTCTGTGTGTGTATATTTTGTATAATTATAGCCCTGCCACGGTTCCGGGATGGGCTGGGACTACAATTGACTGATATGCAGTCTGTATGTACTTGTTTTGTCTTTTAATGTGTCAAGGCGACCCTGAAAAGCAGAACTAGATTCGGAGATGCTTTAAAGTGAAAAATATGTGATAAGAAATAAAATTATTGTAGTGTAGCAGACCTGGTGCTTGTCAGCATTACCATGGTAGTAGAGCTGCTAAAGTTGAATTTCAGGTAGAATAGTGCACTTCTAGAGAAACCATGAAACTTCCCACAGTGATACTATGACACCTAAAGATCAATAAAAAAAAAAAGACCCCAAAAAATAACGCCTCCTAATGGCCACCATCTTGAAATCCAATATGGCTGCCAAAATATTTGATTTTAGCCAATATATTCATATCTACAGCACATGTAATTGCCAATTGAAGGTCATTACCCATGTTTTCAATATCAGGGAGTGTCATGCAATCATCAGAAATTATGTCAGATGGCCACCATATTATTGATATTTTTGTCAATATTCATGTTTACAGTACCGCGCACTGTCAATCAAAGACCGTTGCCCATGTTTTTGATATCAGGGACTACCATGCAGCCATCAGAAATTATGCCAGAAGACCACCATATGTTTTCAATATCAGGGAGTGTCATGCAATCATCATAAATTATGTCAGATGGTACCGCCATATTGGATTTCAAGATGGCCACCAAATTATTGCTATTTTTATCAATATCTTATCTACAGCACTGTCAATCAAAGACCGTTACCCATGTTTTCGATATCAAGGACTATCATGCAGCCATCAGAAATTGTCAGAATGCCACCATATTGAATTTCAAGATTGCTGCCATACCAGATTTCAAGATGGCCGACAAATAAATTATTGATAACGTAAATATCGTCATATCTACAACACCTAGCACAGTCAAAGATCTTTACTCATGTTTTCAATATCCGAGAGTATCATGCAGATATCAGAAATTATGTCAGAAGGCAGCCATATTGAATTTCAAGATGGCTGCCATATTGGATATAAAGATGGCGGCCAAAATATTTGATGTTTTTTTCCATATTTACATATGTACCAGCACTGTGAATCAAGATTGTGTATATGTATAATTAGGGATTTTTATTTATTATTCATGGTATATTTTATTCAAAATGATACAAAAAGGAGAAAGCAATTGACAAAAAGTGAATTGTAGCCAAGGCTAAATTGCTCACAATTTACAATCAATTAAAAATTAAGAAAAAGGCATTAAAAAATTCACAAACATTTAAAAATAGAGAGAATATAAAAATATAGCATATATTGAGAAAACAAAAAAAGTGATAACAATAAAGACAACAAGAAAAAATACAAATTTACAAACTCGTGTAAAAAATCAAATAAATAAATATTGCAATAATTATAAATAAAAATTACCATAAAATTGAGTGATCAGGATGAGTAAGACTAATCAAATAACAAATTTGTTTTGCTTTTAGGAATCATGATATTGTTGCTTCGTTTCAAATTAAATCTTTTCTGGACATCAAGTTAATTATTATTGTTATAATTATATTAATCGTTATTAATTGTTATATTATCGAATTGAGTAATCTTGTGAAGTACGGGATAGGACTATTCTTATATCTATTCGTTTTGCTTTTAGGTATCGTGATTTTATTGCTTCGTCTCAAATTATATCTTTCCTGTACAATTCTCTCTTCAGGAAGCCACTCTAAATTCTGGGTGATTGTACAGTTGTTTGGCAAATCTTGTACATATCATAACTCGGCGATCGGCAAGTTTTTTAGTTTAACTATAGCAAGTGCTTGGTCGTAAATATTATATTGGTTTTGCTCGTTTCTGGAGACTTTCTAAATCATTTGACTGTTGGACAGTTAAGCTGCAGTGCCAGACGGGTGTGTCATACTCGAGTGCCGATCTAATATATCCTTTATAGATTGTTACCAGGTCATCAAATGGCAAATTGAATTTTTTCAATGATTTAAGCATGAACAACTTGCCATTAGCATGGGTGATCACATTGCTTATGTGCTCGTTATACTTAAGGTTTCTGCTTAAAAAAACCCCTAGTATTCTGATGTTATTTACTTGCTGCAGATGTTGATTTTGAAGCGTTAGTATAGTGAAAGGTGGATCCTTCATAAAAGATACTTGTATGTGTGCGCACTTTAAAGCATTAAGCCGCATTCCGTTTGCTACTGACCAATCGTTGAGGTCGGTTAGATGTTTTTGAATTGATAAATGAGTGTGTCTACCGATTCCATTAGAAACAATTGTCAAATCATCAACGTACTTAAGTACAAGAGGAGGTTTTGTGTCAGTTGTTGTAGTCAGGGATAGCGCATCGTTGATATGGACGACAAAAAGTAAGGGGCCAAGTTTGCTACCTTGCGGAACCCCCCCATTCAGAAATCTGCGTTCAGAAATGATCCTTTATATCTCACAGATTGATTTCTTTCCATCAGGAAATGTCCAGGATACAAGCGAGTCGTGAATGCCGTAGTCAGTTAGTTTTTGAATTAATATGTTGTGATCGATTAGATCAAAAGCTTTTGAAAAGTCTGTGACGACTACAAAGCTGTGATTGGACTCGGGATGGGGATAACAATCGCTTCCTTCCATTGCGTTGGAACATAACTTTCTTGAAATGAAGAATTTAGGATGTTAGTTAGTGGTACCGTTAACTCACATGCGAATTCTCTCACAATTCTTGCAGGAATGGCGTCAGGTCTGGACGCTTTTGTATTGTTAACGTTTTTTAGTACTTTATAGACTTCAAATTCATGTACCTTTGGAAGGGGAGTGTTGTTCGTAGTAGGGTTGTGACGGAGCTTAGGTATATTGTCCGAAATTGATGCGAAATGATTATTAAGACTATTAGCAACAGACACGATGTCGTTTGGATCGACTCCAGGAAGAGGTACTATAGACGTTTGCTTCTTATCTCTGTTTATCATTACTTTTATTTCTTGATACCACTTTGCAGGATTGCTCATTTTTTGTTTTTTGACGCTAATGTTATAGAATTTTGATTTTTGGGTCGCAATCTTGTTTCTAATCTGTTTCCATTTTTCATCTCCAATGCAATGTAGACGTTGTCTTTACTTTACGAGTGATTTAATGAGGGGAGTCATCCAAGGTTTGTCAAATGCGTGATGTTTAATTGATTTTAATGGGAAGTAACATTCAATGGCATTGTGCAGTATTCTGTAGAAAGCTGAACACTTATCTTGAGTAGAGCTGGTGTTGCAAATTTCTGACCAGCCATAGTTGGTGATCCATTGGCCAAAGCATCTCATCGTTGAATCCTTCATTGGACGAACTAGTCTAATGACTTTTTTGTTTTCAAACTTATTGCTTTTGGGTGACCAAATGACGCAACGATGGTCACTACATCCTAATGGGGCTGTGGTAACTGGATCGTTGTAGTTCAACCTAATGTTGGTTAGAATCTTATCTAACGTAACGTTTTTCCTCCTAGGTTTTTTGACCTGTGCGAAAGTATGGGATTTCAAGCGTGTAAGGTCTAGACGGTTGAAATCTCCTCCTATTATTATTCCTGCATTGGGATGGTTTGTAGTAATGACATCAATACAATACAATAAATGATTAATTAGAAAGCTGCCATCATTTTTATGGTCGGGTGGAGAATATACTGCAGCGATAAACAACTGTGAAATCTCACGAGGAAGTCTATAAGGTCTTAATTTAACCCACACTACCTCAACTTCTTCAGGGACTGGAATGTCAAATTTCTGGGGGTGCATGTTATCTCTACAATATATTGCAACTCCTCTGCATGACCTTATGAGAGAGAAAGAGAGTAAAACCATCGATGTTAAAAAATTGTAGCTCATCCTCTTTAAAAAAAATTTTCTGAGATTATTGCAAGATCAATATTATCATGTCTCAACATTAATTCGAACTCATCAAACTTGTTTCTAATAGAACGGGGATTACACACCATAAGAGTCGGAAGCTGGTGCAATACTGGTTGGCGCTTAACAAACTCAACAGGTTTCAGGTTGCTTCGGTTCACTAGTTTTGGTTTAACATAATTTTTACCTGAGTAAATTCGATTAATAATCACTACCTTTATAGGTCTTTGTTTCTTCGCACCAGCGCATCGTCCCCTCTTTGTTTTTTTATGAGTCGTGAACACGTTTGGATTACAATGGTATGTAAAGAACGTCAGCTCTGTTCCCTGTGATGCCAGTATTCTGAGTGGTGTAACTACGGGTATCATGGTGGCTAGCGATTTAGAATGATATCTGCAAACGAACTCACTTAACACAAAAAAATCAACGAGAATGACAAATCCAGTGCGTTTCCAATAAATTTGTGATTCCAAATAACATTAAATACACAAACACACACAGAAAACCAGAAAAAAGAATTCGAAGACAGAGATCGGAAACAGTGAGACCGGTTCAATGGCACCACCGTGTGATCATGCAATCATCAAACATCTCATATGACTCATAATCATAGTCAGACCTGCCTATGGCAGTAAAGTAACACCATTAGAAAGAAGTCCAACAACTGCCACGTTGGATTTCAGAATGATTGCCAATTAAGAAAGGTACATAAAAGAAATTGAAATTTTAAAAAATATTAGAAAACAGTTAAGGAATAACAAATTTGTAATCAATCGAAAGGAAAGGAAGTAAAAAAAATAAGTAAATAACTGTTTTGTATGGTATGAGAGCAAGTGCAGAGGGGGAGAGAAAGATGCAGATATTAAACATCATTTATATTAAAGCTAGTTTTAGCATAAATGAAATTATGTAAACTTAAATCAAATATTCAAATTAATGGTGTGAAGACACTAATATCGAATAGACCTCATGTCTATGAAATGGCTAATTATAATTTTCAAATGATAGATAAATATATGTAAATATTGAAAGGGAAAGAAACGGAAAAGAAAATTAAAGAAAGGAAAAGAAAGAACGGAAAGGAAAAGAAAAAACTGGAAAGGGAAAAGAAATATAAAAGAATAGAAATTGAATATAATGGAGAAAGTGAAAAGAAATAAAAGAAACATCAAGGAAAATTAAGAAAAGTATATAGTTAACTTTAGCATAAATGAAATTATGTAGACATAAATTAAATATCACATTCAAGTAATGGTATGAAGGCAATAATATCAAATAGACTTCTAAATATCATTTTCATGCCTCATCAGTGCAGCTAGGGTATAGACCCAAACGAAAAACAGCAAACGGCCACATAATGCAAAACTATTTACAATTAAAACGGAACAGTATAGAAAATCCGATCAGAATGACCCTAGCTGCACTTATGAGGCCTGGAAGGCCGAAACGGATCCGTCTGCAGATATTGGAATTCCTTCCAGTGGATGCTTAGTTTATTTTGTCATTCTGATCGGATTTTCTCTACTGTTCCGTTTTAATTTTTTAATTTAATAGTTTTGCATTATGTGGCCGTTTGCTGTTTTATGGGTTTTCCCATTTGCCTTTCAAAATTTATATATTATTAAAGAATCTCTATTGAGATCCAGCG